TACTATTCACCAGATAAAAAAAAAAAAAAAAAGTACGAAATAGAGAGAAATCGTTTTATATAAACTGATTGTATAAACATTTTTTTCCTCAGAGATTTAATCATGCGGCCACAGCGGTGAAAGAATTGGCTGCACAGCCAGAAGACGAGCATCTGCTTGAACTCTATGCATTGTATAAGCAAGCCATTGTCGGTGATTGTAACACAGGTTTGTCTTCACAGAATTTTGGCATAAAATTCATTATTTATCGTGCATGCTCTCATATGTATAATCTCTCGATAATGTCTTTCAATTTTCTCTTTTTAGAGAGGCCTGGTATGTTGGATTTTAAAGGAAAAGCAAAGTGGGATGCTTGGAACAATAAAAAAAGCCTGGGACAAGAAACGGCGAAAGAGCATTACATTGCTAAAGTGGAGTCATTAATTGCTTCAATTGGAAAGAAGTAGTTGATTCATTATCACACATATATATGCGCATAATCATTCGCGTATAATCTCATTGAATTGTTCGTGAAACTTTTCATTTTTAATGGAAAGTACAGGAAGCATTATGTACGCACACGTGAATGATTGCATACAGATGCAATATGTTATCAATTTTCTATTGTTTAGCAGCTACACGCACTTGTATAGGATGCACTTTTTTGTTTCTGTTCATTTATAAATCTTGTATTCACTTTATTACAGTCAGCATAAAATTACTTCTCGCATATGTCTCTCTGTTACAATTTATTACCCTTCTTAACAAACAATAATTTAACTTTTGCCCTTTGCATTTCAGTCCCGTACTAAAGTTTCACTCATTCCGACTCAAGATTATTAGTGTATATTAATAATGTATTTTTATATATATAACATTTTGCTTATCATTATATACACATATCGAAATACAACTAATCAAAGGAAACAGTTCCCTAACACACTTCCAACGATATATTTCAGCGTGTGTGTATTTAGCTAAAACTTAAATTGGTAAATAACGCTATAGCCAACGCGAGAATAAAAATACACAGCAACGAAAATAAATTATAACTATTATTAACCGATACGAAAGATGTAAAAGGCATTTTTGTTTGAGAAATTATAAGTTTGCGTCAGTTCTGTAACCTAGCGTCAGTTCTGTATACCTAGTTTAATCGAGATTTAAATTAGCGCAAACGATATCGATTTGACGTTTTACAGCTATCGGTAAAGATGAGGCGGATGTTACTTGCAAATTGTAAAGTTTGAATTAACAGCGTAAGCGATACGCTATCACGAGTACCTAACTCGACTCGAACAGCTCATTGTTTTACAAAACTAAATGATTCAATGATAACGGATAGCGCGCCGCTTCGCTTTCGAAACCAAAAGCTGACAAATCTTGTCTTTTGAAATGAATTTTATTAACCGAACCGCATAGATATGTCAAAAAACCAATTGTGTTATAAGATATCTTTTTTTTATCTCTCTTTCTCTCTCTCTCTCTCGCTCTCGCTCTCTCTCTCTCTCTCCCCCTTTTATGTAATAACTCATATCTAAATTGGCAATATGTTTCTTGAATTTCTATTAGATAGTAGACAATGGAGATAATAGTGACATGTATATATATATATATAAATTGAAAATTTGAATTAAATTACATCAATCGAGTACATTAGGAGCGTATACTTGTCGACTTGAATATATAAGGAACTTGACAAGAGCAATTTATTTCCTCTTACTTCTATCGTGCTTCTTACTCGTGTGCGGATGATGACGCGTCTTTACTCTGCTAGCTTTTAGATAGTCGTTGTGGATCGCATTCGAGCTGTGGTTACCCATCGTGTTATCATTGAAGTTCTCACAGACTTGACGACTCGTCGATGCTTCGTCGAACCTAATACACACATAAACAAACGAGATGACGGAAAATTAAAGTTCGTGAGAGGCAATTTCGCTCTTGTTTTATTGTTAAATTCCAATTATTAACGCTCCGATCACTCGGGCTTAGAGAGCCTATCTCACTATCATCGATTGTCAATTTCAATGAGTAAAACGCGTTAAAAACTGATGTTACGTTCTGATGTTCTCGATGAAACTATTGTGAGAGAGAGGAGAATATGTATGTCGGGAGATATCAACGCGAATACCAGGTACTCGTTTGCTGATGTTCGAACCGTGACGACAGGAATTTCTCAATTGCCAAGGAGAGATCGAGCGAATGAGATGTGTTTTTAACTATACGTTATTGACTGTGGTACGCCGTTCACCGTCTTTGATTTCAGTACATCGTTTTCGTAAGACATTATAGTTTCTTTCCCATTTTCATAGACTCTGTAAAAGAAAAGAAAAAATACAAGAAGAACGATCAGAAAGAATATGTAATGCCATTAGAGATCTGCGATATGTGTATTATCAGACATACTTTTTGGTCGTAATTTTCTTTCCGTCGATGAAACGAGTCGAGGTACTGGTACGTTTCACAGCAGCACCACCGCTCGCTCCGTCGAAACTGGTAAAAGCACCGAAAGAGGTAAAGTTTCCTGCGCCACCGGCATTCTCCATTAGATTATCGAACGGCAAACGAAAGCCGAATCCAAAGGGACCAAAGAAGGAAGTACTCAGACTATTGCTAGTCGGATGACCATGTCTCCCCGTAGCGCCTCTCCGGGAACAACCATGAAAACCTGTGAAATTCAACAGTGACAATCGCGTTTTATGTATTCATCACATATATATTTATTATTGCAGTGTATCGCGCGCGCGTACATGACTTACCGGCAAATAAATCTTCGAAGGGTATACCGTCGAAAAATTCTCTAAATACTTCTTCGGGATCTCTAAAAACGAATGTGCCAGCAAAGTGCGGATCAAAATCATCTCCATGGCGTCGTTTACCTCCGGGCATTTGAAGACCTTCTTTGCCATACTGATCGTAAACACGCCTCTTCTTTTCTAAAAAATTTCCAAGCAAAACGATTATTACTTTCCATTGGCATCACTATCACAAAATTTTATTCCTTCCAATCAAAACTCAATAAGCGTGGTTTCCGCAAGATTTGCCGCAAGGTTAGTCCAACATTAATCGATAAATTGAAATACAAGAGAAAAATGAGAAAAATTTCATAGAGTATCAACAACGCTCAAAGATTTATCGCGATTAATATGTCGCTTAGTTTAGCTTACGCTATAACACGTTGATCGTTTTTATCAAGAATGTAACTGTTTCGATCGAGTTATAATTCGCTAGCTGTTAACACACGCTGACAATAGAATACAGGCAGGGTTAACTGCAACGTGGTAGTTATTCAGCGTGATACTATAGATCAGGGAAAACTCGCAACTTTCTTCTACTATCATTTTTATAGGAATAAAAAGGATGAGCGATCGGATATGCATTCTGTTTGTGTACTCGGATGCAGTGTCATTTTAATAAAAAAAAAAAAAAAAAAAAAATAAATAAATAAATAAAAAAGAAAAAGAAAGATATTCACAGATCACACATTGTAGCACAGTTTTCATAAATAGCCATGTTTCCGTATAAGTCAACGTTGATTTTGAAAATCCTAATCGGTCTCGCTCCTGCGTCGCGCGTTAGATTCCACGCTCTCATTCCGTGCGCGTTTAAGTTTTTTCGCAAAAAAAGTGGAGAAGAGAGAGGCGGATATACACATTTTGTGTGGCGCAATATTAAGGCAAGAAAAAAAAGAGAAAAGAAAACTACAGTATACAAAATGTTTTGAGCACTCTGCAAATCGTATTTCTTTTTTTCAAATGATACCGAAATATCGCTGGAAAGGAGAATCAAAGAAACTCCGGAAGGTGAATCCACGGCCGGGTCTTGACGCCGCCTTCTGATATAAGCGCTGATCGTAAGTGCGTCTCTTCACATCTGGAAAGATTTTCTATATCGCCCCAATCTTCTCTTACAAATTATACGTACGTTCCTCGTTCTTTCAAATTTTTCGACAATTTATAATCTATATTCTCGGAACGAGTATTTTGTATGATGTTTCGGTTAAAAAAAAAGCGGCAGCTTCAATCTTCATTAATCCTAGAAATCTGCTATGCTTTTATAGAATCTAATTAAGGCATGTCATGTGTTCCAAGATATCAATCGTATTGCGCTTTGCGGTTAAAAAAATGAATTCTCGACGAGAACCGCAGTTGTGTTCTCTCGGTTTGATTTATTTATTATCATAGAACGTACTCACCATCGCTCAAAACTTCATAAGCTTCTGATATTTCCTTGAATCTTCTATTTGCCTCTTCCAAATCATCGGGATTCTTGTCTGGATGCCATTTCAATGCCAACTTTCTGTACCTACGGAACGGAAAAGCCGGATATTGCGTTAGCGGAGCTTATTAAAAACATCCGATCGATCGTAAGAGTAGGTCATATTATTTCGTAAGATTTCGAAACTTGAAAATTTGCTGGCAATCTCGAATTTCACAAAATTAGGTATAAATTAGATTAACAAATTAGTTAACAAGAAAGGGATTAAACTTACGCTTTTTTTATATCAGCACTAGAAACAGTCCGCTGTACTTCGAGCACTTTGTAGTAGTCGACCATCGTTCAGCACGTTTGGAATCAGGACTTAGGAAACCACCTGTCGAACAATGCGAGTCTTTATTATTATAGCTGATGCGAGCCGACGATTAACGGGTGAGAATCGAGATTGTACAATACAATATTGCAAAGAGACATACGATGAAAAGTTTTAATATTAAATTGCCGTCCTTTTAGGTGACGCGACAGCGATATCCTCGCTCGTAATATAATGATTTCTAATGTTTAGACGAATAATTTATCACGATTCTGCGTCGTGACTGGCGCAGTATAGCGTTATACGACGCACGTAAATGTCATTAACAATTTAAATGGATCGCAAGCAAGAATAGATAGCGCATTATCGCTCTAATTACACCGTATCAACTTTTTTGGTTGAATATGATAAATGCAATATACACGCACAATGATGAAAATTTAAGCGTTTACAAACTCGAGATGAGAGCGACGAAATTGCTAAAGTTAGCCAAGTCGACTATCGAAAATAGTTGAAAGCATTGGATATAGAGATTATTACGAATGCAAAGTCTCGCCGGGTCTAATGATCTACGATTTTGTGTATCGATATATCGCTAATTGCCACGCAAATTAAAGAAAATAGAAAAAAAAAAAAAAAAAAAAAAAAAAAAAAAAAAAAAAAAAAAAAAAAAAAAAAAAAAAAAAAAAAAAAAAAAAAGAAAACAAAAATGTGTCGCGCGATTTCTTCAACAATTTTCGTTCCTTATTAACGTAATGTGTTGTTTAACGCTATTTTAACTAATCACACTGATACTACTTTTGCCTTCGATAATTCTGAATCTCTGCCAAATATAGATCTATATACATACTCGATCTCTCTTTCTCTAACTCTCTGAGAAAAGGAATACTAGAGACGAAGAGGATGATAAAGATGAAGAGCTAATATGTGCTTTTATCTAGGGATAGCGCAAAGCTGATTGTGAATGAGTCATGCTACTTTTGGATTTGATTTTGGTCTATCTACGCTGCCTACGCGTTTTGCGAATCTCTCAGGTAAAGTCGTAGCCAACGTACTCGTCATCGCGACGTGGGTCGTCTCGCGACCACGTAATCCTACGTATATATATCTGCCGCCTGCGTAACGACTACGAATTTCGTTTTATCTAGATATTTAAAATCCCCACTCTTATTACTCTTATCGTTGTATCATCGTGTTATTACAAGAAGATTTATCTCAAAAGTTTCGGCAGATTTCTTTTCCCTATCTCTCGAGAGTCAAATTACGACCTTGAATTTTCACAACTCGCTTCTAAATCAAACTGAATCCTCCAATCGATCAAAATTGCGAGGGCCGAAAATTATTACGGAAGGAAATATATTTGGCAATCTGAAAGAGAGTACGCATTTTCGAGGATGAATGAGAGCGAAGCGATTCTAGTGGGCGTCCTTATGTTCTTGCAGAGAAGCGTGACGTCAGTTTTACATATTTGGCCAGAGAACGACATATCGAAGGAAAAGGATTTCGCGCGACGCGACGCCATGCGACGCCCCGTATCCTCGCTCGCGCGCGAATCTTTCCGCGTATTGTCCTCGTTGCAAGTATAATTTAAATATCAATGTACACGTGTGTACATTCCCTCTTTCTCTTTCTAAATATAGATAGATATAGATAGTGGTTAATTGTATTGCGCTCACATACACACACACACACACACACACACACACACATATACATTTTTCCAATATTATACATATAATTCAAACAAAATTATAAAACATTTTTATAATTTGCTAAAAATTAATACCTTGACCGCATTTGGAAGAGAAACAATCGAATGTATAATTAATTTTGCATAAAATCATCATTTCAATATTAATTTGAATAACACGAAACAAATGCGTGAGTAAAATAAAGAGAAAACTATAATAGTAAACTATAGTATCTCAGTATGTATGTCATTTTACAAAATCGAACAGAAAGAACGAAATGTTTTTGTTTGAAAGAAAAATACGCGTACGTACATCTTGAACTTACTTCTAATTTAAATTCACAATTACACCGTGCTTTATTTTGCGTGAAACAAGAATGAAAATTAAAGAAGATTGAAGAAAAGATTAATTCTTTCACCTATTTTAAATATAAATCGATATATAAGATTCTAATTCAATGTCAAAGACAAATAAATTGTGATATATTATAAACTCGCATTCCAGGTAAAGTTCCAAAACATTGTTTAAAATTTTTGCCAAATGTTTCGCATTGTATGTTTGCATCGTACCTCTCGATACAATTATCAAATACATTACAAGCACTGTTTCTTCCAATTACACAACACGATACAATCTGTATCTCAATGTTATTGTTCTTGACATTGGGCCATATTCTGTGCTTTAGTCGTAAGTCACTGAAAATTATTGTAGTATATAGAACTAAAGCTTATAATTATAAAGTTTTCAAACTATTGATTTCTATTGTTTGGCTATGCGCAAATCCCTCTCTTCTCTTATAACCCCTTTCGTTGAATCTAATAATATATTGTCATTGTTACGACGACAATGTTATCAATAGTTGGTGGAAATATTGGTAACAGTAACTGACAAGTTCCTTTGGCGATTCGACACATTTCAGCATCTGTGATAAACTCAACAATGACAGCACACAAGATGAAATTTCGTTCAATTATATATCTATTATGTTCTACCCGTTAATTTCACTCGATTTACTTACTGCAACATACGAGCGCGCGCTTTATCATAAACTAGAAGTAACTGGCATGTACTTGAATCTCTTTGGTTTCAATTGATTACCCTGATACTTGACAACGCTTTAGCAAATGTATAATAGAGAATATATAACGCGTACTTTTACATGCCTTCGCACATAGCTGTTAGCTTTGCGTCGAGTTTAGACGATGCGAATGTTTGATGCGAAATAGCTGAAACGGAAGCTTTTCTTCGAAAGTTTGTTCGTTTCTAGGAGCTCGAAGCGTGTGCAAAAAAAAAAAAATGCTAAATTCTCAGCTCCAAAAAGAGATATTGCGCGCGGTCTTCTCTGGCACACTCTATTAAGAAATTATGTTCGGGACTCACCGAAAATGGTTCCTGTTCGTTGCGTATTAGTCGCCAATCGTCAAATTTTAATCGATTTTATTAATTGGTAAAAGTAAACCGTTTTATTCCTCTCGATCGGAAAGAAAGCACACGTTCGCGGACAAAAGTGGAGATTGGAGATACGCGACAACCGCCGTGAAGTTGCCTCAAACAAAATTCGATTATCCAAGAACAATGTTTCTCGATTTCTCTAGTTGTTTCTAGTATTTGGTACTGTATTCATGCGCCTTGACGTCGGGGGTCAATCATGTATTTTTCCCCTAGGGCGGAAACGTGAAAAGTTTTACGTGAACTCTATATTTCACTTGATCATGTAAACGTGTCTCCCAATCGTGGAAATGTGAAACTTTTCAACTTTTCACGCAAACTTTTTCGCCATGAAACTTGTAGCGGGCTTCAGTAACTTGCTATCGACAGTTTCCAATATCGTTAACTAGCGACAGCCAATGGCAAGGACAATCCTGGTGAAAATCGCAACTCTCATAGATTATCGCTCGCTAACGACAACGATAATCGTCGCTAATGGCTTCTGCCCACACAGGACGCGGAAATGCTTGCCACGCGGCAAAAAGCAATACGGTAGCCAATCAATTTTTCGCTCTAAGGCCGGATTCACACCTTGGCAGAAAAGTAGAAAGCAGAAAAGCAGAGGCCAATCAGGATTCGCGCTAAAAAAGCAGAATGTACTGCTTACTTTCAGCGCGAGTTCTGATTGGCTTCTGCTTTTCTGCTTTCTGCTTTTCTGCCAAGGTGTGAATTCTCCCTGATAGAAAAGTTACAAGTTGATTGGCTACCGCGTCGCCTTTTGCTGCGCGACAAGCGTTTTCGCGTCCTATGTGCAGAAGCCATAAAACACGTTAGAGAATCCTGCTACTGGTGGCGGAAAGGCGGAAATCTAGGAAATTAATAAATATACTTTGGAATTATGCACACAGAACGCGGCATAAGTGGTATATTTTTGTTTGTTAGTACTGCATTGACAGATGAAAGGTTTGTCGTGAATGCAATGCTGTACTAATAATAAATAATCCCTCTTAGCTATAAAGCCTAGAAGCTATGTTTAATGATTTCACTTTTTACGCATCCAAGTTACGTAATCACTGTACGTGGAAAGTTTTGCGTTTAAAATTACATGATCGACCACCTAAAGTTGCGCGTTTCTCAAACGCATCCTATCTAGATATTTATTGTGGTTTAAGAAGATAAAAAATTATTTTTCTATTTTATGAATGGCCTAGTTTACATCGATATATTTTAATACGTATACTAAATACTATACTAGCCAATCACAGACATTCCATTCTTTAAAGAAATGGCTATGATTGGCCAGTGTAATACTTAGTATGTGGTAAAGTATATTGGTGTAAACTAAGCCAATATGGGCGCGTTCGGCAGAGAAAGCGCTCAGTTAGGGTGCCATTACATGGAGCGCGGAAACGCGGATTAGCGTAAAGGTACCTTTACATGGCAGCGTTAAGCGTCGAGCGTCTGCGTAGAAAATTGCGCAGAATCTAATTTCAGCCTAGAATCTATCTCTTTTAAATGTTCGATTGCTACTGAGCGGTTTTCTCTGCTGAACGCCGTGCTACTCAAAGGGGTCGATCGTGTATCTTTTAGCGTTTTCGAATGTAGCAGATTTAATCGCTCTGAGAGCGATTAATGACGTCATTGCATCGTCTCTGCCAATAAAAGGCTTGAATTCATAGTAAAATATAGTGATTAATTGATCCGGGTTGAATTAACCCGTTCATTCAAAAACGCTATAAGAAGAAAAGAGACAAATGACACAATGCCCTCTTTGTCATCCCGCACGTTTACGCCTTTACGCCAGGGTTTATATGAGAGAGGGCGCGTTCCAGGTTCCAGGTTTTAGTATGTATAGAGTTCAGTGGCCTCGACTAAAGTGAATCAGAGTAGTTGAACGTTGAATGAGCCGGGATTTATGCTGGAAGAATTGAAAATGTACTGACCGATGTAATGTTTCATGTTTTCTATCGTATATCTTATAAGCAGTGAAAAGCTCGACAGACTTTTAAAAATCCGATAGATTAGCCAAAACGAATGTTGTATCGAATTTTGTGAGTTATTGCAAATATGGTAAGTGATTTTATTCAATGAATCGTCCTTTTGATCGACTAGCTTATTAATCATCAAATCATTCTTAACTGATTGTGCAGGTTTTGATGGCAATTTGTTTGTATTCTTTTAATCTTACTCCTTAAAATAGCTTGGATTTTTTCTAGCTACTGTTACCTATAAACAGAAAGAAACATACATTTTTGCAACAATTAATTGTGAGAATTAAATACAGTATCAAACAATTTTCTTGTATTGTTTGTTTTGCAGTCGGGAACGCTAAAACCCTATTTGACAGCAGTTAGGCGTACGCTTACCGCTGCCATGTGTCTGGAGAATTTTTCCTCTCAAATTGTGGAAAAACACAATAAACCTGAAGTGGAAGTAAGGGCGAGCAAAGAACTGCTTTTGACGCCTATCTTGATAAGTAGAAATGATAAGGAAAAGGTCTTGATTGAATCTAGTATAAACAGTATGAGAATAAGTATCGCCGTGAAGCAAGCCGATGATCTAGAAAAGATTCTTTGTCATAATTTTACAAGATTCATGACAATGAGAGCCGAACATTTTATGATACTCAGAAGAAAACCAGTAGAGGCAAGTAATTAAAAGCTACGTGCTTTTAAACTTTTTACAAAGTTTATACATAATTATATTTCGATATTATCAAATCGATATTTTATACAATATTTATTTTAGGGCTATGACATTAGCTTTTTAATTACTAATATTCATGTCGAGCAAATGTACAAACATAAGATAGTAGATTTTGTTATTCACTTTATGGAGGAGATCGATAGAGAAATCAGCGAAATGAAATTGTCGGTTAATGCTAGAGCACGCATATGTGCGGAGGAATTCTTAAAAAGAGTGAGTAACGAGTTATCGTTTTTATCAAGTTTGCAACATTTTGTAAACGTAACATTATACATCTAACATTAAATGTTCAATTTTTTCAGTTTTAATCTATTTATGGCGAGTATTAACAATATATGAATAATTCCAAGAATCGAAGCACACAACGGATGCATTGCGCATTGATATTGTCCATTCTACAACATTAAACGACAACTCTGACAAAATTAAGGAAGACATTTTTATAAAATATTCAACAAAATATATCCTCTCTGTATTGCCACTGGAATTGTTCCATGTTAAATAAAATATTATGTTAATGTAAACATAGTGTTATAAGCTGGCTTTGTTATATAAGATTTCAAGCAATATTAAAAGATTGAATATTGCTATATAAATATTTGCCATGTGAATGGTTTTTAAGCATTTATTTCATAAAACTAGGTGGATAAAATGAATAAAGAAGCCATCTGAATAAATCTAAAACCAATTATTTGTGTAGTACATTTTTTATGAAAAAAATGATATTTGAGTAATTCAATAACACTTATAAGAGTTTAATTAGTTTTAAGCAAATTCACAAGTTTGAGTTAAATTTCTTTTCAGATTGGACTATTTGACATGGAATAATTAATTTTTACCAATGTTGGCTAAGAAGTCGAATGTTTTTACAAAATTGCGATTAATTGACACACATACATACAAACATATAACGTATACACTTACCTACGCATACATATACTTTTAATTCTAATGCTTCAATTATATAGAATTATATGTATCAAATTTATATTTATCAGAAATGCTTGTTTAATTTTTTTTTTTCCATTATTATGGAGATTGCTTTGTCAATTGAATTTACTGTAGTTAGACTTTGTTAGATGTTATTAAATAATTATGGATGTTTTTTGTAAAATTCGAATTTGTATACTTTTTACTTTTTCTAATTTTTTTATAATTTTATAATGTACATCTATCTAGTTGAAATAGCATCCAAATTACACAATGCAAAATATAATTTAGTAAAATTTATCCTCAAAGTTTACAAATTTGAAAAATCTTTGTATGCAATTGATAAATGATTTAAACGCTTTATATTTTCATTTTGGAAAAAAGACGGAAGAACGAAGAACATTTCTATAGGATCATTTTTATTTCACAATTATATAATGTGTACTGTGTGTTTAGACTTTACATCACTTATTGTATTTAGTAATATTATGTATGCATTTTTATAAAAAGATACACAAGAATATTTCTCCCAGGTTTGATGAAATTATAGTCTTTAATTTTAATGATTTTTTTACTGTGCAATAAGTAAAATACGTATCAAGAAGTTGTAATTTACAAACTAAGTTTTCGTGTCAAACAAAATAATGATAATGGATATATAATGTATGCATGTGCGCTGAAGAGTCGGATCAAGATTTTTGATACTAATGATATACATGTACATGTATAATACTCTACTTAGTCTCGATTTTATTTTATTTATTATAACAAACTCGCGTAGTGAATGTTACATATATGTTTCGATAATATTGTGGCTGCGGTCGGGAAGACGCTAGAAATGCTTCGAAGCATTGCATTAACCAATCAGAATAAATAAATCTTTACTCTTTCTGTCCTGATTGGTCAATCAAATGTTTTGAAGCATTTCTAGCGTCTTCCCGACCGCAGCCGGTATCATACGAAAGTTACCGCGCTTTCAATTGGATAACGGATGCGCCTTCGTAGCTGCAACTTGACCAACGCTTCTGTACATTGTGTAGAGTGCAATGATCACGTTCACGATAGCTTTATAAATTCTCTGGGAAAATTTCATTTTTATTTATGATTAATCGATCTCCAAACGTTAGTGGTGATTTACGAATGTTTGTCAACTACGCAATCATGTAAGTTATTTTTCCTGAATCTACATCGAGATATTTATATTCACTATTTTTTTTTTTTATTTATCTGGAAACGAATCTTGTGATCTTTACGATCTTACGGTTATAATAAGTTTTCCATATAAGAAGTTTATTGTGTTATTATGTTTTTAATTTGCAGTATCTATTAAAGATCAAAAATTGTTTTGCTCGGAGATTATACGTTTTAATCGATTGAATAACTGTGCCGTGATGGTATTAGTTTTTCAGTATATTCAGATCCTCTTGAAAGATATAGAGTTTTTCCTTCATCGACAAGTCTATAAAAGCTATACTTTGCAAGTAACAAGTACATTCATTATTGATGAAAATTGACGCAAACCGGTAAACGTTAAAACTATTTCAATATTTGTGACCGAAACGATGGAAAACTCTTATAAAACGGACGCAAAATTTTCGAAATTTGTATTACGGACTATTCCAGCAAACGGATAAACGTACGTATATCCTTACTTCATTAAATAGTCTTATAATGTAATATGATGTATGTTTATTATGCATTTCTCATGCGACATTTATTTCAAAATAGATTTTTAAATATCGGTCGTCTGTTTTACATTTTGTTTTTGCGCAACATGCCCATCATTTAAAAATCTATTATTTATTATTCTCTTCTCTCATTCATTTGACTTTCATTATGTTTCTATATATCTCGCGGCGGAGACTACACTCTGACATCGAGCTTGCGCGACGCCGTTCGCTTTTTACGCCGACGCCGACGCCGACACCGACGCCGACGCCGACGCCGACGCCGACGCCGACGCCGACGCAGCTTTCGACGCCGACGCCGACGCCGAAAAGAGAGAGAGAGAGAGAGAGAGAGTGCGAAAGAGAAAAAGAGAAAGCACAAATCGTTGATAAAGATACAGATGGGACGGGAGAGAGAGAGAGAGAGAGAGAGCGGAAAGGAACGCTGAATCGAAACGGTAAAATCAAAGAAAAAGAGAGCGAGGAATATACACGAGAAAGAAGGGCAAAGGTAAAGAGGACATTTCTAACGACAGGAAGAAAAGAAGCGATATCGAGGAGAATAGAGGAAGGGGTGAAAGTCGGCTTAAGAAAAAGCCGAAAAGGGAGGGAGAGAGTGTGCAAGAGAGGTACGACAGAGAAGGGGCGATAGAGTGTATTTGTGGGGGAGAATCGCGACACTCTGCGTGCGGCACGAGAGAGAAACGCAGAGGAGATCCGAAATCGAAAAGAAATTCTCAACTGCGGCTAGATAGGATGCGTGTGCTTGGGTGCGGCGTCTCGTCACCACCCGACAAACGACAACAGTTTAGCAGCGTCAATAGCGCCCGTAATATCATTCGTACCAAGGCCGGCGAGGCCGGTGTCGGGAAAGACAGATCCGCGAGAACGTTTATCGAGAGCGCGGAATCGTTCGCTAGAGGTGCAAGCAGCACGCTCGTCGTCGCCCGAATCGTCAAGGACGAGGGGAAGAGCGAGGAAGACCGGAAGAGATCTCTTTGGGGCTTGAAAGATTGCCGTCATTGCGACACCGCATCGTTCGGACTTGCTCCGGAAGTTGATCAACGAGAATACGTTCAAACCACGTGTTTTACTCTCGGAAAGTCGCGGAAACAGTTGTACGGTATTTTCGCGATCGACAGCGTTCCTCCGACGAGTGGTGCGATCCTTAGAACGCGGTCCCTCGCGATCGACGTCCTCTGCAATCGGCATTCAAACTGAGAGAGAGAGAGAGAGCCCTTTCTTCCCTACATGACAATAATCGTTATCGTTGTCGTCGTCGTCGTCCTCGCCGTCATCGTCGTTGTCGTCGAGCGGTCTGGGAGTTGAAGCGCGTCGTCGAGCGGCGTCGAGCGGTATCGAACGGCGTCGAACAGCGGCGACGGGGTCGTGATCAGCCGGCTTCAGCCTGGCTCTCAGACTACGTCCAGACTACTCATGTTCATCCCAGACACCCTGAGAAGCTGCATGGTGGAACCGGATGTCTCGACTTACCTGCAGGCTCCTTCCGTCGGACAGGTGCTTAGATTTTTAATCCTATCTTTTTCTTTCTTTCACCTAATTCTCTATGTTTACATTCTCGCTCTTGTAAATGACCTCTCGCTTGCGTGGAGATGATTTTACTCAGTTTTGCGCGTGCCTCTGTTATTTCTTCGCTATTACCGCGGTATGCGGTAAAAATGTTTTTCTTTTTTCTTCTTTTTTTTTTTTTTTTTTTTAAATCAGCGGAACAGATTGGCAGGCGTTAATGATAACGTTACTATCGCCGCGCAACCGAAACCGGCCGATACAGCATTTCGACAGTCGCATAAATCCGCGATCGATCGATAAACAGCGCGGTCAAATCGTTGCGAGGCGGAGAAAACGCACTTACGACAGCGCTTGACAGCTAGGGTGAAGGAACTTTATCTGACTGGCGACTATCCCGATAGCGTAACGGCTGCGCTAACGCGTTACGTGGAAAAGTTACGACGTCTGGCTTTCCGTACTTTCGGCCTAGTTTAGTGTAAAGATGACAACGGACGAAAAATGCGTCGAGAGAAACTCGTGGCATTTATATTGTGGCTGTTATCACGCGAGTACGAATACGTTTCAAACGTTGCGCGCGCCTCGATGCTATTTACGCGCGGCCAATCTTTCTTATCTCGAGATGCGTTATAATATATAATATAAATTTTTCGCTATCGCATCGTCTTTGATATTTTGATTTTTCTTTTTTTAAAGAAGCTTTTCCTTCCCCTTGGCTATTCTTCTTTTATCCCGTTTTTTCGTCCCTTTTCCGAGAAATATTTCGCGTCTGTATCGCGGTTGGATAACGCGCATCAAATCACCCTTGTTTGTACATTTTCCTAAATTTCAAAATTTTTCTAGTATCAAAGATGGTATCGGAAATTTTGCATTTGAAGGGAGAGATACATTAGAATAGGGAAAAGGCATTAAATCGGCGTTGCGTTGCGTTGCGTTGCGTAGCATTGCGTCGCGTAGCGTCGCGTCGTGTCGCGTCGCGTCGCATCGCGTCGGTTCGAGGGCAAATCTAGTAAGCTAGGACAGAAGCTATTAATAACTGTTTAGGGTGCCGTACCTGGCCGCCGCGCGGTGCCGTCCGCGTCTTGGTCTCGAGTCTCGATACGCGCGTCTCGACGACCGGCGTCTCAGTGTCGTCGCGACGACCGACGTTGTATCCGTTTTTCCGCCATCGAGACGACGGACGGAGGAGTAGACGGTGCGGTCGCAATCTTGGCGAACGAATCAACCCGATCGGGACTCGAATCCAAAGTAGCATCCTCCTACGTAATCGCGCGTTTAACACGACGTTAAATAGGCAAACGACAAGAGTGCTCGAGAGAAATACAATAGATTGGCCGCTATCGCTATCGTGCCAGAATAATTTCGAAACAGCATCCGGCTACGCTTTGCGTACGCTTTTAACCTTTGAAATGGCGATGCGGCGATCTTCTTTAAAGAGTATGGAGAATCTACATCGTGTGATTTTCTTATACAGCCAAATGTTTCACCAGAATTTGCGCCACTGATCTTGCGCCACTCGAATTTTCGTGGCGACAACGTGGGACAAACGCGTTAATTTTATGTTTAATTTTGCTTAATCGCGCTTATACGCTCGACCGTTACATTGTCCACGCCAAATTGGCGATACCATTCTTTGTCGCGCGTGTCGAATCAATGCTCGTATAATATGCGTCATTTACCGTAAAGAGGAGCACCGTGCCGATGCTTGTTATTGCGAGTGATTCTTGTGGTCTCTCTATGTTCGCTTTATTCTATTTATTTGCTAATAATAGTAGAAGAATTTCAATCTCGAGAAAATTTTTACGGGACCGGGTCGTGGTAAAAATTATATTACACGTTAATCCGGTGTATATCGAAATGGTTTTTTATTCGATCGCGGCTCGTGGAGCTCTTCGAATAAGTTCGCGCCACGCAATATTGCGCGAGTAAGTACAGAAGAGGAAGAGAAGGAGGAGAAGGAGGAGGAGGAGGAGAAGGAGGAGAAGGAGACGGTGGTGGCGGAAGAGAAGAAGGAGGAGGTGACGGACTCTCTAATTTGAGTTCGCGAATCGCTCGTACCTGACAATGGTACGTTTTCCGTGTGACCATCGTTTTCCGGGAGTGATTCACTTTGCGCTTCTTCCTGCTTGGCTGCTCGTCGATTTTTGGCATGGATTTTCTCTATCGCGTAAAGAATAATTTGTAATTAAAATAAAATAAAAAAAAAAAAAAAAAAAAAAAAAAATGCGCGGAGACAAGATGACGCGCTGGAATCGTTTCTTTTATAGCTTTCGCGCGCTTGTACCTCTCCCAAACATATCCCAAGGTTTGTCGCGCGTTCTTTTCCAACGTGTCTTTATCCTTGCCGCGATGACGAGAGTGTTTAACGTTCCTGATTTTCGTTGGCTCCGAAAATAACAGCGTTACCTACACAGATGGACGCGCGAGTCCAACGTACAAAGGCGTGTCTGTAAAACGTCCGTAAACGACGGTCTCATCTTCCCAGGTGTGTCGTTTTTTTTCTCATTGTTTCATCCGTACGTTCTCGTTCGTTCGGTCCCTTGGTTTAATAACCGCGCGTATCCGACGATCCGTCCGATATACAAAACGTAGCGGAGGAAAAGGGGAGCGAAAACACATAGATATACTTCTCCTTCTGTTCTTTTTCCTCTTTTGTCACGCGCAAACGTGATCTCGGCAAGGTTGCTGGCGCGTTTTCGATAGCTAAAGTTTAAATTGTGCAGCGCAATCTTTGTTAGAAAAACTCTTGTAGATGAGAAAGATTAGTGAAAGATCCACGAGGAAAAGTTTCCCTTGAAAAAATATCATCCCGTATCTCTAAAGTTAGAAACATCGTCTTAGGAGGATGATCGCTTGATAAACATCAAAACATGTCCACGTGGTAGCGTCGGTAAAAGTTACGCGTACGATTAATAAAACACGGAGATACATGGACGAGTTTGCGGGGACAGTGTCGCGAGCAAGATTCCTGGCAGCGGCTTCTCGACGGCTAGTGAGAGACTCTGTCAAAAGTGAGGATAAATAGACGAATATCTCGAATAATTGGAAAAGCACGTGAGAAGAGGCAGATTCGCTTCTTCTCGGCAACGAGATCGGTAGATTGGAGATGAGGCCGCGAGCGATTCGCGACTGCGAGGTGGAGGAGTATCGAGCTCTTCGTAATCGTTACCGCGAGGATCGCTGTTTCTGACAGCTGGACGCTGACAGGGGCTGGAGGGACGAACAGACGACGGTAGTGTGCTACAGCAGCTGCAGTGTTTGCGAATACTCGATGGTTCGTTTGTGTTTTTTAGCAGTTTATTCCTAGCAAGATGTGTACGACGAGAGAATTCTTATATTTACTATGGAAAGAGATTAAAAGGTAGAGAGAAAGAGAAAGGGAATGATAAGAGAGAGAGAGAGAGAGAGAGAGAGGAAGAGGGGAGCAAAAAACAATATTGAATCAAATCCTGTCCATTAACCGATATCGATAATATCGCTGTATTCACCGTTAAATATCTATACTTGTGTCCAATATTTTAATATATTTTATAATTCAATATATCAGATTGAATGTATATATCGCAAGAATATAAGTTTTATATTTAAAATAGAAAGATAAATGAAAAGAATAACGTAAACCAATCGTAAATGAATGAGGAATAAAATAGCGCATAGAATAATAAAAGCATAATAATAAAAGAAAAAGTAAAATAAAAGAATTATCGTTTATATCTCAAAATGCATGCAATCCATCATAAGTCATTCGATATCACTTACACATTTATAGTCACTTATAATTAACAGAGATACTCAACATTGTTGGTACAGCTGTACCGCATTAATCTCAATTTTTCCAATTATTTTATAGAATTTTGTGCCATCGTCGTGTGCTATTACTTTTATTTTCTTTCGCTCATTTTCCATTGTGTAATTGTATTTGAATTTTTAGCGAGATTAATGAGTATTAAATCAAATTATTCTGTAAAATGGATCAAATGCATGATAAATGTTCTTTTTTATTAAGAATAGCGGATATTTCTAATGACATTAGCTATATTAATTTTATTAAACTGTCTAGAAAGAGATTTATTGTTATAAATAGCTCTCAAATGATTAGTTTGGTTTACTTTAGTTTGCATTTTCGCAACATGGATAAAATAGAAATTTGTTTGCTAATTTGATGACAAAAACATTTCACTCTATCAAAACTGATGTTGTTGAATTAGTTGAGAATGTCGTTTATGCTATTTACTATATTGCGTGTGACTTTTTTTCATTTATATTATTTTACAAAATTCTTGATTTCTCTAAAATAAGATGGTTGACAATTGCATGTATATCGAAAAAAATAAAAAGAAATCGGGGCTGAAACTTAATAACGAGATAAGAGAATGCAGATAATTTAATAAAAAAGAAATAAATATCGTATGATTGCAGGATGAGTTCCATCCATTTATCGAGGCTCTTCTACCATTCGTGAAGTCTTTCTCGTACACATGGTTCAATCTACAAGCTGCCAAGAGACGATACTATAAGAAACACGAAAAGCGGATGAGCTTGGAAGAGGAACGTCAGTGTAAGGAAGAACTTCAGGTGAGGGACTCTTCAGGAATATAGACTGTCTGGTGAATTAATCTTGTCTTTAACGCTATCTCTATCTCTATCGGTATATTAAAAGAAATTAAATTGCACGAATAAATCAATTCTCGTTTGTGAACAACAAACTGCAAATGATGAGGATTGTGCGCGCGCGCTATGAATTGAATGGTTAGAAAAATTTTAAGACGGATAATATAAATAATATGTAATATAAAGTTTTAAGAGAGACCAAGTTTCTTACCTATTGGAGTCCGTCGTATCTATTCGACGATAGCACAGTCGGATGTGCTATCGTTGTTGGTAACGTTATCGGCCCGTTGCTTCTCCACCGTCATTCCCATCCTCCCTCTCGCGACAGGGTTCGATCAATATTTTAATTTCGCGATGTTGCGGTATTTAGCGGAAGAGCGGCTGGCATTAACTAGTGGCGCATAGACGTTTCTTCTTCCTCCATTTTCAGTATTTTCGTTTCATTTTTCTTCCATGCATCTAAACAATGAGAACGTTTCGCGCGAATTCACGTTGCTATAATTACAAGTGAAACGGACAAAACGGTCATTTTACATTTACATTCGATGGCAAAAATTCCGGCGGAAACTGCGTTTCTGGAGTAGAATATTGGGAGAAATTTCAAATTATGTTTGTTTATCTCGTAATTGTATCGATCTACCGGCCTTGCGAACAAACATGAATGAAAGTAAAAGGTCGTTGGCCACGCTAAAGTGTACGTATAAGTACTGGCACGATGCAGTGTTCGGTGTAAGGTAACGCGTTTCGCGCATTGAGAAATTAAGATACGTCGTTTTCTTCCTCTCTCTCTCTCTCTCTCTCTCTCTCTCTCTACTCTGTAGAAACGGTTAACTAAAGATACGATAGTGTTGTTTTAACGTAGTTTACTTTGCAGAATGAAAAGATAGTTTGATTTAGATAGGAGCGCAATTGCTTGCCGGAATAGAATGTAATATTAAATATTACATAATGTACGGAATATAAGTATGTTTTGAATCTCTCTTTCTCTCTCTCTTTTTCTTTGTGTCGAATCTCGAGCGACGTAGGAATATGTGTTGCGAAAGAGTTTCTTCTCGAGTCTAATTCACATTCCCGAATGGATAAAAAAGATGTGGACAAGGAAAGGGTGCAACGTCAATCGTAACGTGTACTTTTCAAGTTGCAACGCGGCACGTACGTTAGAGAAAGGAATAAAGGGGTACAAATGGAAAATAACAAGAGGGATAGAAAGAGAGATATATTCGTATACGTACGAGGCAGACTACGCGCGACGCAGGTCTGTCGTTTTCTCTTAATTTCGAGACAGACCGCAGTACGATATCGACTACTTCGATTCGGGTGTAGGGCGCTGCGAGAGACCGAGACAAGCGAGCGTAGTGTGTGAGCAAAAGAGATAGAAAATCGAAGAAAAAGAAAGAGAACGTGAGCAATGGATGGATAGACGGGGATAAACCAGAGCGAGAGAAGGGGTGCGGCGCGTCGCGTCGCGTCGCTCGTAAGAGGAAGGAAGAGCATATACATACGCGAGAAGAGTATGTGTAGCTCGACAGAGGGTTTGGAAGGGTCATGGTGGATCGAGAGAGAGAAAGAGAGAGAGAGTGAGGCAGTCGGAAACGCGCAATTGGGAAAGAGAGAGAGAGAGAGAGAGAGAGAGGAAGGGGTGCAGCACCAACACCCACGAGAAGTATCCGCTACACGAGTGCACACCAACTTTTCGGCAATGGGGATGAGTGGGAGGGATGGCCGGTTTAGGGCGGTCGAAAATGGTGTTGGGGAGGACGTAGACATGTAGCGCATACGCCGTCGCGACGGAGGCTGCGGCTACGCGGCGCCTACCAACCACCATCTATAATCTCTATGGTCGTTTTCTTCCTCTCTCTTTCTCTCTCTCTCTCTCTCTACTCTGTAGAAACGGTTAACTAAAGATACGATAGTGTTGTTTTAACGTAGTTTACTTTGCAGAATGAAAAGATAGTTTGATTTAGATAGGAGCGCAATTGCTTGCCGGAATAGAATGTAATATTAAATATTACATAATGTACGGAATATAAGTATGTTTTGAATCTCTCTTTCTCTCTCTCTTTTTCTTTGTGTCGAATCTCGAGCGACGTAGGAATATGTGTTGCGAAAGAGTTTCTTCTCGAGTCTAATTCACATTCCCGAATGGATAAAAAAGATGTGGACAAGGAAAGGGTGCAACGTCAATCGTAACGTGTACTTTTCAAGTTGCAACGCGGCACGTACGTTAGAGAAAGGAATAAAGGGGTACAAATGGAAAATAACAAGAGGGATAGAAAGAGAGATATATTCGTATACGTACGAGGCAGACTACGCGCGACGCAGGTCTGTCGTTTTCTCTTAATTTCGAGACAGACCGCAGTACGATATCGACTACTTCGATTCGGGTGTAGGGCGCTGCGAGAGACCGAGACAAGCGAGCGTAGTGTGTGAGCAAAAGAGATAGAAAATCGAAGAAAAAGAAAGAGAACGTGAGCAATGGATGGATAGACGGGGATAAACCAGAGCGAGAGAAGGGGTGCGGCGCGTCGCGTCGCGTCGCTCGTAAGAGGAAGGAAGAGCATATACATACGCGAGAAGAGTATGTGTAGCTCGACAGAGGGTTTGGAAGGGTCATGGTGGATCGAGAGAGAGAAAGAGAGAGAGAGTGAGGCAGTCGGAAACGCGCAATTGGGAAAGAGAGAGAGAGAGAGAGAGAGAGAGGAAGGGGTGCAGCACCAACACCCACGAGAAGTATCCGCTACACGAGTGCACACCAACTTTTCGGCAATGGGGATGAGTGGGAGGGATGGCCGGTTTAGGGCGGTCGAAAATGGTGTTGGGGAGGACGTAGACATGTAGCGCATACGCCGTCGCGACGGAGGCTGCGGCTACGCGGCGCCTACCAACCACCATCTATAATCTCTATGCAGATATCGATTTTCTACCCTGTATTTCCTAAATTTATGCAAACTAGCGGCGCTACTCCCTTCCTACCCTTCCGTTCGTCGTTTGCATCGTCACCTTTTCCAGCTCGTTAGTCAAAACTATATATATATATATCGTAATTACACATTTGTCTCGATACATTCTCTACATTGTAATCCATTCGTCTAGAGTCTAGAGTCTAGAGAGGATAACAATCGACATTATCCGCATCGATATTGAAATCATTCTCGTATTACGAGCTGTATGTACTCAATTTTCTCGATATTTTGATTCGATAAGGCATAAATCTCCGCACGTTCGTCACTCATCTAAACGCATTAATCCGTTTCGCTATTGACGGGTAATTGGCGGGTAACAATTTCAATGAAATCACTCTCTCTCTCTGTCACAAAATTTTCCTTTACGCATTTCTAAAAGATATACGTTTTAATTTCGATATAGATGATTATTATAAAAGATTATGAAAGGTTATATGTATCGAGATATGTTACCAACGTCGTTAACATACTCGACACAGATACGATTACGAGTAAAAATATTCAACGAATCTCGAAATATTCGGATATTTGATGCAAGTGCAACGTTTCGCGGACGAAAACTTTAGACCGCGAGCTATCTGTACTTATCAAAGATTGACGGGGAAGTAAAACAAAAGACTTGTTTCTAAAATGAAGGAAGGGAAAAGTACGGGCTAATAGGGGGACGATTGCACGAGTATACGACAATTTCAACTTTGGTAGTTTCGGTTTGGAGCTCGGGAAAGATAGTCCGTGTCCTTATGGGCTCTGACTCTCGAGAGGCTATAATATTTACAACATTCTATGCAGACCTCGGAATTGCCTATAAAGAAATCGTAGAGTCGCTTTGTTCGCGTCATAACGTAGTAACGTAAAGGGTCGGCAGATATACACTGGTCGGGAAGCTTGCCAAATTAATAAATATATTCCCGGTCTCTCTACCCCACTTGGAATTTTCTTCGTTCCATTCCATCCACCTATTCTTATCATCGAACGACAATCTGGACTCTGAGCTGATCTAGTCTCTGACCTCGAATGCGACGCTTTGATTTTTTATTGATTTGTGTGGATACTATACGGCGACAAATTTCATCTTTGTCTGCATTGCACAAATACGTTTTAGTTATCTGTAATAGCTAAATATCAATGTGTGTTTGTGATATTTCAATCATACATTTATAAGAAAACGATTCTTCTTTCCCCATCTCGCCTGTTTTTTTCTCTTCCCAGCATTGTTGAATGATACATTGCAGCATTTTTGAGAAAATGTGCGTATTGATAATGCAAACATTGTTTGTTCATCGTTAGGTTGACAATGCAGTCCGTACTTAATTTCTCATGTTGCAAAATAGCTCATGGGCATAGAATGTTTTTAATGACGCGATTTAATATTAAAGTTTATCGCGAAGCATTGCGAAGAATTTGAGGGGGAGGGAGGATTGAATATTTTTAAGATCGATGAGATAAATATCCGTCGAAGAAATAATTACAATGTTATATTAAAAATATCGTTTGCCTAGAGTTTCTAGAGATAATGTCATCGGGGCAAAGCGTATATGCATTCGAGTAAAGCAATATCTATTAAAATATGGCAGAATATTAATGTATGTTTCTAGAATTACGTTTGTGCGCGCTCGGCAGAGGGAAGAAGAGAGGAAAGGGGAAGAAACGATGCGCGAGTTTTCATATTTAATCTCTGAAATAAATTGGCAGCAGCTGTTGCGGCAGGTGTGCGTGTATGTGTGTGTCACATCGAGAGTAAGCGCTTACGAATAAGATTAATCTTATATAGTCTAACGAAATACCCAAAACCCCAAAAGGCGCGTGAAATAAAATTGATTCGCGAGGTTTGCGAAGTTTGCGAGGTTTGCGGTCGCGTAATGAATTTTTTTTTTTTTTTTTTTTTTTTTA